TTAGTAGAGACGGGGTTTCACCATGTTGACCAGGATGGTCTCGATCTCTTGACCTCGTGATCCACCCACCTCGGCCTCCCACAGTGCTGGGATTACAGGCTTGAGCCACCGCGCCCGGCTAAAAGTCAGTGTTTTTCAAATTGTGAGTTGCTACCCATTAGTGGGTTGTGAATTTAGCTTAGTACAACTAGTGCTCAACTTAGGACCACGGTCGGGACCACAGACCGGTCGTAACACGATTTGGTCGTAAGTTGAGTAGGCTATATGTACAGTTGAAATGGTGCACGCGGAGATGGTAGTGCTGCCGGAAGCTGGTCCGCACTGTTGTACGCCCAGGTGGGCAACGTTTGCACTGCCAGACGTGGAGCAGTCGTGGCTAGCGATTGTGGTCGTAAAGTCGAATGGTCATAAGTTGCATAGGTGGTAAGTCAATCAATACCTGTAGTTGGTGACAGCAATTTTCTGCAACATTGAGAGAAGATGGAATAGCAAATTGCAGAGTGTTTCATACTATAATAAGGATAACTATTGCTTTGAGAAACTTTTAAGTTGCCTCTTTCTATGTACACACACTCAGACATATGTATATACTGGATTGCAATTCAAAAGATAATTTTACTGTGGGCTATGGTCAAAAGAATTTGAAAACTGGTAGTTGCCAATTACATAAGGAATAAATGTACCATGTTCAGCACTTAGAGATTGATGTGGATATGTACAGATGATATGTATTGATGTGGTTATGTATATAGACTTGAATCTTGGTATAACATAGGATAGATATGTAGGGTCTTTGTATTTTCCTGGCCTTTTGTAAACATTTTATGAAGGTAGTCTTTTAGTAATAAAAATTTGATGTAGGTTATAATAGGCATTTAATTGAGTTGGGGCATGATAAGAGATACTCTTGATCCTGTCTGAATGATAGCAGTGTGCTTCTGAAGTATATAGAGGTATGAGTCCCAAACAGTTTTGTGACCCCTTCCTTTTCTACCTCAGAGGTATCAAAGATAGTAGACATAGAAATAGGTTTGGTTTTAGTTGTGGTTTTGCTACTGATCGTGTGGGGTGGAGTGAGTTTTGAAGGGCCTTAATTTTTTCACCTGGAAAATGAGACCTTTTGGATTGTGTGACACCTTTAATATTTTATCAAGATGTTTAACTCTAAATTTATCCGATAGTTACAAAAAATTCAAAGCAGAGCTGATTTAAATTCAAAATACGCATTTGTTCCATGAAACTTGTAGGTGAAATCATTAAACTGAAAGCTTCACAAAATCAAATAAGGATAAGGTGTTAGCATGACTGAATGGGGTCTGGCACCCTACTTCTCTTTATTTTGTGTCCAATTCCCTAATGTCTTAATTAACTTTATAAATGTGATCACTTCCCAGGGTGCAACTGATGTCTCTGAAAAGGCCTTTTTATTCTGTCCTCTTCAGTCCAGGCAATCCTCTTATACATAGTAGACACTGAGTAAATATCTGTTGAATGAGTCTGCAGTATGTTTAGTGCATAGTTGTGAATTAAGAAATAAAGACTTTGCAGGGAAGAGTTAATTTTGTTTATGCACGGTAACTTCCCATTTATAATGCTGTTTTTTTTTTTTTTTTTTTTTTTTTTGAGACAGAGTCTCTCTCTGTCATGCAGGCTTGAGTGCAGTGGTGCCATCTCAGTTCACTGCAACCTCCCTGCCTCCTGGGCTCAAGCAATTCTCCTGCCTCAGCCTCCCAAGTAGCTGGGATTACAGGTGTGAGCCACCATGCCTGACTAATTTTTGTATTTTTTAGTAGAGACGGGGTTTCACCATGTTGGCCAGGCTGGTCTCAAACTCCTGACCTCAAGTGATCCGTCTGCCTGGGCCTCCCAAAGTGCTGGGATTACAAGCGTGAGCCACCATGCCCAGCCAGATTTATAATACTAATCAGCCTCTTCTTGATACAGATTTTGCTGTTCCCCATTTTTTATGGTTTTATTTTGACTGATAACATCTGTAATTCAGCTCATACAAGTTAAAAATGCTCTCAGTCAACTTACCTACCATGTTGGCCACTGCCTGTAAAGACTTAAAAGTAGTTTGAAATAGTCTCACTGTTTTCCTTAGCCTCCTGTACTAGACAGAGCAAGTCCCCTTTATGATATCACATTTGCAACCTCATGGTAACATCTGGAACTTCACAAAAACATTAATGAGGTTCCATGACCTTTTAACAAAGTGTATGACTCAGCCCAGCTAGAAAATGAAGAAGGGATATACAAGAGTTCTCGAAAGGTTGGAATCATTCGTGCACATTGAGTTCTTTCTAGTTGTTGAAACTATATTATGGTAACCTTGGATCTTGGCACGAACATGTTGTTCAGAAAGAGTTACTTTGTCTAGGTTCTTTTGGATGCCTTGTGATGTGAAGATAAGCCTAGCAATTTTGTGATTTCTAGTCACGTGAACTTTTCTAGGTCATTGAATATGCTGTATTTTTGTAAGGGAAGCCTTTGTTTCTCTTCTGTTAGTAAATATATTAGCAGGTCATCCAGATAAGTGACCACACAGCTATCTTTGGGCCTCAGTTTTCCCATCTCTAAAATGGATACAAAGAAATGATCCTCAGGGTCTCTTATAACTCTTAATATTTTCTTAATACTTTAATTCTGTGATCATCTTGTAACATATTCTAATATAAATATATTCTAATATGAAGTATGTTATTTTGCATTAGGCTGCTTTTATTCGTGATGAAATGATGCCAGGAGAGTGGGATGTTTGTGTTACTTCTTATGAGATGGTAATTAAAGAAAAATCTGTATTCAAAAAGTTTCATTGGCGATACCTCGTCATTGATGAAGCTCACAGAATAAAGAATGAAAAATCTAAGGTAAATTCTCAATATCTTTATTAAAGTTTTCATTTAATTACCAGGTCTGTTTGTTCACTTTTCTATATACAGAATTAAAAAATGATGGAACATTGTGATTTTATTCATGGAATGTGAATGCCAGTCTAAATTATTGACTACATGACACATTAAAATTAAGCGTAGTTTTTAATGTAAAGAAAATTAAATATTCCTTTGCTATGTTTCCTGTGCCTAACTCTGTTTTGCTGTAGTATTTTAATATTGTTGAGAATATTTGGTGTACAAATATCATTTGTATTGACTTATTTTGTATTGAGGGGCTACCTTATATGTATTTATATGGATGAGAGAAAATAATTTCCTGGGATTATCTGACTTGTGTGAATTAGAGTGTGGTGTTAACATTGAAAAATATCAATATTTCTTGCCATTCAACTCCATCAACAGTAGGAAAAGCTTCAATTATGATGAACCTCTCTTTGGATCACTGGGCTAATTTGGGAGAAACAGGGACAGAACTGGAGCAAAACCACCAGGTGGATTATATTAATTTCAAATTGGAACTAATATCTGATAAGAGGACGCATGTTAGAGAATAATATTTTATTTAAGAGCATTATAAAAATGTGCATTTTTGTTTGTATGATTACCATTCTTTTGTGCTTTTTGTGTCTTAATTTTTGTGGTCTTATGTTTAGAAAGTTAATATAAGTTACTGGGAAAATTGGCTCAATTCTGGGGCTTAAAAATTGTGACCAGGACAAGTTAGAACATGGTTAGGCATGTAGATGAATGTGGTTGGTGGGGAGATGGAGATTTTATTGTGTAAAATGGCTAACCTGGATTCCATGGAGAAGTTCTGACGTTTTTTCTGTGAGCCCAAAATGGAGAAACTAAAATTTTGAGGTTGTGGGGAGGGTCTCAGGTATAAATATGATGTGCATTCTTTTTTTTTTTTTTTTTTTTT